CCCCCCCCCCCCCCCCCCCCAACGTCTTAGAAAGTCCTGAATTCTTTCTGTCGCGTCGGCTTGTCACCACAAAGCTACTGCGCACGACTGGTATCAACCATTGAAACGTAAAATGGCAGATTCCGAGATGGTAATGTTGTTATTCTCCAATGAAAATATGGTGACAGCCACATAACAGACAATTCGTAAAGTAGCCATTCACATATTATTTGCCAAGATACCGACTGATGTATTTTTTCTGTGCCTTGTCGTCTAGTCTTCAAGGACCCAAGTCTGAAGATGATGTTGCTGATGGCGCCGAGGCCGAGGCTGATGAAGCTGATGAGCTGTCTGGATATGAACCCGAGTCTGATGTCAACACCATGACGGTATTGTCATGTCTTACTTGCCGCTTTTTATATCCAGTGTTGTGTATAGACAGTGAGTTACTCAGCTTAGTCGTTCACAGGAATATGAAGTGCGTTAGATTGAGTGATTGACTGACTGACTGACTGACTGACTGACTGACTGACTGACTGACTGACTGTCGTTTCGTCGTACGTACGTACGGTCGGTCGTTCAATCAGTAAATCAACTTTGGGTAGATGTAGCTAAAACTTTTGTCTATTGAATTACCAATCGCTGGTCTGCAATACAGACAATAAATTTAATTTCTTGCTTTAGGTGTATAAACCCTAGTGAAAATTAAAAAATAAATAATCAAAGAGAAAAAAATTGAACTAAACTGATAAACAGGATAAATCTGAAAATAAACCTACTGAGTAACACCAACAAACTAAAGCACGTCGTCTTGCAATTGCTTTCGTGTAAATTCGCGATAAATGAAATGTTAAAGAAGTAAGTCTAAACTAAATTAAACAGTCGTTTTTCAATCAAACACTCAGATAAATGCTCGCCATTTTGAAGCTGCTCCTAAACTTTCCAAACTGGCGGCTACCCCACATGAACGTCACGTGACACTACAAGAACGCGCCAATGACGTAGTGTGGGATAGTGATACAGAACACGAACCAGGCCCCCCTCAACCGCAACATCAGCAACAAGAACAACAACAGCAAGAGCAGGAAGCAGCAAACATTGAAAGAAACACAAACATTCATGCGCACTCGCCTTTTAATCGAAACAGTCACTTGAGAAAACCTTGCAGGCATAAGAGCTTAGAACAGTTATTCAATAAATCAAACAGTAAAGGCGACAGGTCCGCCTGGCCTTCTATAGCGCGAGCGGGTAAGTGGAACAGCATGGAGCAAGTAAGAAAGAGAAATGACTTTGTTGGTGAGCGCACTAGGTCGTTGCCTACGTCGCGATGGCAAAGCGACGAAGGAATCAACTCTGGAAAAGGAGTTGGGTTTTGGCAGCTTTCTGAGAAATTGAACGCTTTGCGTTCTAGTAGAGAAAGCGTCGCGGAAGGAAGAGACGATTCCAAAGTAAAAATTATCGCCGCTTCACACGAGCCGGCGGTAGTACAGAACTTTCATTCTGAAATTCAAACTGTTAATCACGAAGACCTGGAGCAGCTGATACGACGGCCGGCACCAAGACAAAGAATATTCCACGGAGAAAATGTCGCTGAAAGACTTCTAAATGATGAAGAAACTAGGACAGCTCCAGCTGATCTCGCTGAGGGTTCTAGTCTTAAACGACGAAATTCGCTGGTAATAAGACGCAACCGAACTAAGGTAAATAACTTAAAATATAAACAAGTTAACAAGTTAATCCTAAACGTAAATAGGTCAAAAGGGAAAGCGTTCTAAAACTTCCTTGAGCCATTTCCTCTGTAAAGCAATAAAATTGTAATTATTAAACTTTAAATAGTTAATTTTTAATATACTTTTTACAGCACCTTTGCACGGTATTTTGTTTTAAGGGCATTTGTTTTCGAGAAACCCTGATCTTTACCAAGTTAAACTGTTAAGGTCAATGTTATTAAACATAACTTTAATTAAACCCAGCCGTGTTACGTTTCCTAACCTTTTTCAACTACAGTATTGACGTAAAATGATAAAATGATTAACATATAAGTTTAGATTTTAAACAACGAACTGCCTTTATGTGATAAAAAATTGGATTTGGGCTATTTACTGTAAACTGTAACTAAAAACCGTTGATAACTGACCTAAAAACCTGCCTAAATTATCGGCTTAATAGTAAAACTAAGTGAAAGAAAGTCGTCAGTAGGTTAAAGACATTTAAACGAAACTACGTGAAGAACATTTCTAATTTAACTTTACGGCTTTATCTAAAATAAAATAAGTGCATGCGCACGTCTTCTGCTCTAGGTTATGTGAAAGTTCATGTGATTTAAAAATGGATTACAAGATAGATTACCAAATTCTTTCCCCACTTTCACCTCTTTTTTAATGTTTGTCGTGTTTTTTTTTAATAAAATGAAACTTTATAAACGTAACCTATCATTTTAACTATAGCCTGTTTCTGGGGTTTACTTCCTCGTGGAGAGACCTTTTCTGGAACCGCATAAGAAATTCAGTGTTTCACATACAATACAATACAATACAAAATTTATTGACATTCCCTGAAAAGGGCCTTTCGGTGACAATGATATAACTTTGAAAGTCAACATAAGTTAAAATGATTTCATTTCTCTTAGATTCCTATTTTGCTAAAATAAAACGGAATTTTTATAATCTTTAGCGCCACCTAAATGACTTCAAATGCGCTCTGGAGCTTATTAGAGAGTTAAAGGGATATACAGTAACTCATCAGCCTCGTACCCAGAGTCTTCGTTCCGACGAGCGACCCTGGAAAGATCCGATTTGTAATCCGAAAATATCGGACTTCCGGTTAAATTGTGCATGCCTACCAGACAAACACTTGGCTCAATTTAAACGCCGGTGTTTTACTTCCGTTCATTTCCAATTGTTTTTAAAACCAAACAAAATCGAGCCTGTAACGGAACTCTGGAGTCGCTCGATTTCGCCAAGCATGCGCAGTAAGGAACGAAGACTCGAGGAAGGAGACCGGTAACGCATGAATCTAAACCTAACGCGCATGCACGTTGTGTGATCCTTCAACAGACCGACTCTCTTCCCGAGTCAGATAGCAGCAAACCTGACGCGCTCAGCGCTGAACTTGAAGCTCAGGTGAAATAAACTAACTTGCCGTAATAGTAAAAAGTCAAACGAACCTATTCTTACTTACAGTAGTTTTTAAATTGACTTTCATTTGAGCTAAAACGAAACTATAACCTTGAATTTTCGTATAATTGCCCGAAGAGTTTACGATTCTCACTGTCCAGTCAATTTATAACTTACACGAGTAGTCTGAAAGTCGTGGCAAGTTGGCGTTCCTAAGTCGCATTTTAAGTGTCAAAAATGTAACTGAATTAATAAAGACGGTAAGATTCTCTTTTAAAAACCGCGAACTCTCCTTGCTCAAGGCGCTGAAAATGAGAACTAATGCTAATTCTGCTGATAACAGTTAACACGTATTGCACTAAAAAATGTCTCTCGGCTAAACACTGGGGCCGAGGAATAGGTGTAACGCTTTTCTTGTATAATATCATAGTAACATAACCACTCTGCGGCTTATAACAATGGACTGCAAGACAAAATTGACGGAAAGAATTGCCATAAAATTTCAATGAGTACTTTGCTATTGCATCATCGGTTCTTTGATAGGTTCTCAAACACTGAAGCTGACAGTATAAAAAAATGAATTTTTCATATTTTTAAAACACTTTGAACCACAAGGGTGATCGAATTGTCCACGTGTCCCTACGGTAACGATTGACTGTCACGCAGACAGACCTAGGTCTTAAGTAAATATATCATATTGTCTTTCAGGCCCCATCCACACTATGCCGGGGGAATTTGAAAACGAACGTTTCACTTTGAAAACGCATCAAGTGTTTTCCTTCCACACTACGCTAGAGGAATTTGAAAACGCATCAGTCACTGGTCATTTTGCATTTGTATTTGAGTAAACCTCGAGCAGGGGAATATCACGACTATTGTAAGGTTATCGTTTTCAACAATTTTTCTGTCCACACTAAAACGCAAAGTCGCCGTTTTCAAATCCCTCCGGTTTGAAGAGCGTTTTCGAAAAGCGCCGTTTTCGTGACGAATTAGTGTGGACGTTAGGCCTAACCGCAAAAATAAAGCTGCGCTTTCAAATTTCTCCGGTGTAGTATGGATGGGGCCTCAGATGTATCTCCGAATTCTCAGAACAAAGTCTGAGAGGACTTAGGAATCCGCAAGGAGAATTTATGTTTTGAACTTGTTGGATTTTGTTGCGTCGCAGTTCAAGAGTGTTATTGAGGAGGATGACGAAGACATTGACGAAGATGACGTAGGAGACGAGGAGTTAGCCCAGTTGGTTGCTATGGCAAAGGATCACACGGAGTCTGAAGGTGATACCGATACAGAGACAGAGGCGCCCGAGGGAGAGAGAGGTGCGGCTGTTGGTTCTGACTCTTTGTCCGAGGCTTCTTCGAACACTCCATTGCATGTAAGTAAGCTACAGCATGTCACGATGTAGTAAATAAGTGACGCATTTATTTGACAAAAATAAGATGTTTTCGCCTCGTATATTCATCATCAACAGTATCAGGTAAAATTACTCGGTAATTTAACGATAATTTGCCAAAATGGCACTTCTTTGCCAAGCAGGGTTGACTTAATTGCTTAATTCGCCACTTACGAAATGAGAAGAAAACTGGGGCAAGTGTCATCTCGCAGTGGCTTGTGGGATCGTTACTTGACGAGAAGCTCTATTGTCGCCAGCTACGATCCCGCAAGTGACTGCGAGATGAGACTCGCCCCAGATTTTTTCTTGGCGAATGGAGCTCAGTCGGCCCGCATTTGGCTTATTTTTTGAATCAAGTTGCAGTAAATAACGTGTGTTTGTTTGTGTTACAGACATCAGTAGTGGAAGGGAATGTACCAGAGCGCATGTACAAACTGGTTTTAGCAGGGGACGCGGCAGTGGGTAAATCCAGCTTTATACTCAGACTGTGCAGGAACAGATTCCACAGTGCGCTGAACTCCACGCTTGGTATGTAAACAGTGCAAGCTTCAACACTTAAGTGTTAATATCCAATATTAATCACCTATTAAGAACACAGACAATGCTCCGTCAAGACTCACAATATTAATTTTATCGCACGTAAAATTTCTGTCAGTATAAGGCTACTCACCCATTAATGAAACGCAAAAATTTCTTTCCGTTGTAAGCTTAGCCTACTAAACACCTTTTGAAATATTTGAAGTAGCTAGTTGTTGATGTTCTCGTTGATTTTATTTATTTATTTATTTATTTATTTATTTATTTATTTATTTATTTTTAGGTGTGGATTTCCAGATGAAAACACTTGTTGTTGATGATAAAACTGTCGCGTTTCAACTATGGGATACAGCAGGCCAGGAAAGGTAATAACGTCATGTAGTGTATCAGTAGGTGTCCTGTGAGATTTAGATTAGATTTAAGAATAAGGATTTAGATCTTTTTACAATTAGGATTTACATTTAGGGGCACGATTTGTGACCTACTTGGAGCATGAACTGATGAAGTGTAAAGAATGAACCACAGTCAGCATGACGCGTTTGCCAGCTGAGTGTAGTGGCAGTTCAGTTCAAGGCCAGGTCACTGAGCAGACAACTCTAGAATGGTCTATTGACAAGGAGATCCTTGTTTTCTTCATCTGATGTGTTTTCTTGTTCTGTTTTGCATCCATTGGCCTATAGTGTGTAGCATCCTTTTCCACATTGCTGATACGCTCGATGCTCCTTAACTAAGTGTGTTTTATGTTTTAGGTTCCGAAGTATCGCTAAGTCTTATTTCCGCAAGGCTGATGGTGTATTACTTCTGTACGATGTCACTTGCGAAACATCTTTTATTGATGTCCGTGACTGGGTGGAAGCCATCGAGGTACTCAGCTTAAATTTGTTACATTATATTCTAAGAAGTCGAACTGTTAATTAAATGACAAAGGTTTGAACCTTCTATTCGTATCCTCCGACAGAAGCGTTTCTATTTCTGTACTTCTTTCCTCGAGATTGGTGTAAATCTCTTGTAAGCATGGCTAGTAGTTTTTACTTATAAATGTTGCTGTATAATTAAGAAGGAATACACCACAAGTTGGAGTAACAAGTCGACAAGTACTTTTTACCAAGGTTGTCTGCACTGTGTTGCAAACTTCTGTGCAACTATTTTGTATAATTATCCTCTCAAAAGAAATCAATTCTAACAACACCAAATGTCGAAAACAAATTTTGAAGTTCATGTGCAACACTTTAAAGTACTGGTGAAATGAAACTGATGATGAAATTTTACATGTGTTTGCGCAGTTTCTCTGATCTTTGAAGTTTAGTTTGTTTAGTTTGATGGGAAATAGTGTTATTACAGGCAACTGTTTATAGCTTTAGCTTTTAGAAAATTCAAAAAGGACTGTAATATACTTAGATATTCTTGTACCAGGATTTTGCCCACTAAAAACCGACTTTGCTCGATTTCCTGTCAGATTTCGTCTTAAATTGTTCTTGTTTTTCCTTTACAGGATAGCACGACAAAGCCGATTCCCATCATGCTATGCGGTAACAAGATTGATTTGCGCCAATCACATATCGATGAAGGCAAGACCGTCATAACAGCGGAAAATGGAGAGAGATTAGCAAAGGTGAACAATTTATAAACATAGCCGAAAACTATTTCCCACCCTCCCAATCCCCATTTTTGATTAGTTCTCTTAGTGTTGAATTGAATTGTAATCAGGAGATGTCTTTGAAGAGCTTAAAAGAGTTTCGTGACGACTACACGGCTTGAAAAAATGATTAATATTTTCATGCTTGTCGTTGCTAACACGCTTTAACCTTCCTTTGTTATAACCTCCCTTGTTTATTTTTGGTTTATATTGTTACTTTTTTGATGTTTTTCTACCTAAGAAACCGAAATCCCTTTCAATTTGAAAGTAATTATGAACAAAAATTACCAAGAAATCGTGACATATGGCAGGGACTTAAAAAAGCGCAATCTTTAGGGAGTTTGTAAGAGAAAACAGGGCTGTAGCCGAAAAAAAATATGACTGAAGCAACGTGCATGAAAAAGTATGACTCGCAATGTCCATGGTTAAATTCTCTCTCTAGCTATTTAGGTTGTTTGTGAGGATTATAAACAACAACGAAAAAAAAAAGCCGGACGTAAATGCCTTGGTCTGCCTGTTACCAGCTACAGCCCTGAAAAACTCAGAAACGTGCTTACTTTTGATTTCAAGGGAAATAGTCTTTTAGGATTCCATTCGCCTGTGGCTTGTGTTCCCACAGCATCTCTCGTTCTCCCAAACATCCACTCGTGTTTCTATAATTTAGAAAATGCCTTCCTAAATGGTGACAGACCTTATATGTTTATCTGTTTGTTTACAGGAATATGGCGCTTTGTTTATCGAAACGAGCTCGAAAGAAAACAGAAATATAACGGAAGCCTGCGTCGAACTGGGCAGGTGAGAATCACTGGGCTATTTCATCAGTCTGTAGTCTCTCCCTACAATGTCAATACATTTACAAATAGATGCGTGATGAGAATAAAGAAAAGTCATCAACAACCGGATATTGTCTTGATGTACCTTCAGATTCTTAGAAGTAAAATTAAGAGGAATGTGTGGTATTCAGTAGGGAGAATTAGGTTTTGGGTTTGAAGGGGTGAAGAGGTGAAGAGGTGAAGCATTGAGAATTGCAATTCATTGTTTTTATTGCCATCTGTCGTAGATTGCTCAGAAAAGTTGAGGACACGGAGGTAGAAGAAAGCAATGGATTAAAATTGACGGAAGGAGAGGAGAAGAGCAAGAAGAAAGTGAACTGTTGCCCTACGTAGTTGAGCGTTTCGAGTATAATTTACCGGAGGGATAAGTACCATTGAAACACCTTAGTCTTAAAACGCGGTTGTTGTTCGAGGAGAGGCTGCTAAGCAGCTTGTCGACTTTCTTTCGGTGTACTCGTGCGATTTCTGATTGGTCGCAAAAATTCGGAAATGGTTCGAGAACTTCTATGGAGATTATCCATAGTCGGTATCTTGTTCCGTGTACTGAAAAAGGCGGGAAATTAGCATGTAGTTGTTCTGAGCTTTTCGAGAGCTACCTGAAATTGAGAATTCTTGAATGGATTTTGAACGATGCCAGTTTTGCTTGTGAAACAATCTTATTCAACCTGGGAAACTGTTATTATCCATCACAGAGAAAACTAAGTTTTAGTTTTAGTTAATATTTACACTGTAAATAATTCGTATTTGAAACAAATTTCAATTGGAATTTTTTTAAATTATGCTTCGGGTTCTAGTCTTACCATACCATGTATGCAAGAATTCATAACGTATTTGTTCAAATCATTAATTTATTTATTCAATTATTGTCTTCACTAGACCGTGAATGCATGCCACCTAGAAGAGAAATAAGTGTATTTAAGCTTCACCAGCGTTAAGAGTTGTTAATTTTAACTAAGAACGTTTTGTAAATAGATAGTTCATTGACATAGAATATGGAGAAATGAGAGTTTTTAGAGATTTTCGTCCATTTTTTTTTTTACTGTATAAACATTTTTGCTTAGCGAAGCACAGGCCATCAGGAATGGAAGAGTAATTTAAGCGATGTTTAGAAAGAAAAGAAGCTTGAATGCGGCGCAACTTAGAGCATAACGAACCTTGCTTGGTGTATAAAAGAAATGTAATTCCCGTATGACTAGTTTTTTTTTTTCTGTCAATAATTAAAAAGGTTTGTTTATTGGACTTTCTTTTCCTTTAAATAAAAACAAAAGAAAAGTTGACACCGCAATTTCATTGACATTGCGAGACATAAAGTTTAAGGTTTAAGGTTTCTTAAAATAGGAAAAAAGGTTTTAGCGTTGATAGGATTTCAATGTTCGTTTATTTCTAGAATTTGTCCGTGTAAATTTAGCGTAAATTTGTCTTTAAGGTTGATTTTTTAATCGATACTTCAGGGCTTGTTCGTTACGTTAAAGTTCAACCTCGTTCCCAAGGTTTCTCATCTTCCCGCCCTCCCGGAGCGAAAAAAAGAAGAGAGACCCTGGGAACGAGGTTGGTTTGAGTTGCGCCGGTTAAATTCAACTTTTTGAGGAAGCTGGTTTTCCTGTTGTTTGTACTGTGCCATGTGTGATTCTAGACGAATCAGTTATATGTTACCCATGCATTCATACTTTTACAAGTTTTTATTTAAAAACGCATTGACTCCATCGTTTACGGAGACATCAAAACACACATGTTAATATAGCTGAGGATTTTGTACATAAATGTCTAGGTGGCCGAGCTGAGGCCGGGCGTAATTAAAGATGTGTACTTTATCTGTTCGAATTGGTGACTGGGATTTGATGCAGAAAACTAGTTTAAACAGGAGCATTTTTTTCATATCAGTCCTTCGAAAATGGATATTCAGTGTCTCTTTGTCCAACCAATATTTCCAGGCGCTTTGAGAGTTCAATTGTCATTCTCCCCCCTCCGTCCTAACGAGGTGTGAGGCAAGGAACGCGGGCTCACAGAGTAGCTGGAAACCTAAACTGTAAGTAGTCGCTCTTTCGCTTAGTCCGTCGAGTGAGACCGTAAATAAACCACGAGCTAATGAAATGGCGGCGGGAAGCGCGCGACACGCTTCTTGCCCTCAGGATTTCGCGCGGCCATTTTATTTTTCTCGCGGCTTTCTTTCGCGTCACGAACGACGGAATATGCGAAAGAGGGACTACTTGTAGTCTACTGGAAATCGAGTCTTCAGTGAACCAACAAAAAAACAAGAAGCAATCACAATAGAATGTAGTCAACAGACGAGGGGGAAAGAAACGTTCAGAGCGTCAGCCCTCGTTCAGAGAAAAGTGGAGATTGGGTGCGTGCGTGTTGCGTGCGTGCTTGTTGCGTGCGTGCGTGCGTGTTGAAAAGAGAGTTATGCTATTGGGGAAGCATGGTAATTGAAACTTTATGTATGAATCGTTCATCCCATGGGGAGCCAAGTTTCCGAGTTTAAAGATGATTTATTTCCGACTTTCAGTATTGCCATGATGCAGAGAAATGTTTTAGAAGAAAATAGTTTACATGCGCCTTTTTCGTTGCTCTTTTACGTCTCGAAAATGTGTTGCAACAACCGGTTTAATGAACAGAACAATGGCAGTACACGTGCGTTATAAATCTTTTTATCATATCTCTCAGTAGTAATTGTAATCTTCAATGAGGATATCAACATCACAGTTGAGTGGTTTACAGAAGGGTCCTCAAAAAATTACCGAGTTAGAAATAACAAAAAATTGAGAAATATAAAATGTAAAAAAATATTTAGTATGCGCTGTGGTTGGTCATTTTGGAGGGGCCGTATTTTACTGCACAGCCCACTAAAATTTAAAGCTGTTTTTGTTGCCAAAACGTTTCGTGATTTATCTAAACTTTTATAGCATGTAAAACTTTAAAACTTTCTTTTACTGCTAATGACTTAAGAGTCACTTAGCAACGATTTCAAATTGACTCGTTTTGCTTTCGAGGTGCGTCAGACATTTTAAAGCCGTTTCGCGGGAATAGAAATCGTTCCCGAGCCGGTCAGACACACAGTAGAGATATAATAAGTATCTTACTGACCTCGTTTTCTCGGTCCGTACTGTAAGTTACGGATCCTCGTTTTTGGCCTTCGATTTATGGCCCAAGCGCGAAGCCACTACTTGAAGGTAGTTAACAATGGCTGCTATTAACAGGGACAACATACTGAAGAGCGATGTTAGAACTCCACTCAGGGAAAGGCTCGCGAGCAAATAGTGAGGCACTTTGCGAAGGTCACGGCGTCTTCGAAGCAGATTGCAGACGTAGGCGTTTCCTGAAGCTCCCGCCAAAATCAAGATCGACAACA